TTGTAAATCAGAGAAGAATGTAGAAGGAAGTTCCTAAGATGTCAGATAAGTGGAATTCAGAGTTTAGATGGAGGAAGGACACCTAAATCATGAAAAAGACAGAAGGTAGGAAATAGTTTTAAGAGAGAAAGATGTTAAGAGAGATTCTACTTTGTCTTTAAGTTTTTGAATGAGAAGGCAAGATCGACTTCTCAGAACATAAGAGAAAGCAGTGGAGTACTCCACGGTAGGGATAATGAGCTATTATGTAGAAAGGGGAAAGAAGGAGAGAGAGTAGGTATACATTGAAGGTTTGCCAAGAATATCTTGCCCGGTTGAGGTTGGAGATCACAGAATTTTAGAGGTATCATTTGTAGCTAATTGATTTTTCTCTCCCAGTGCGCAATAGCTTGAGTGGGAGTAGAGAAGGCCGACAATTGGGTTGATATACATGTAGGCGGTAGGAAAGTTAAGTGGAATGGGAGAGCAAAAGGGTGAACAAATTTTGAGTGCTGGTGAAGGTAGTTGGAGTGATATTATAATTATGGAATGCAGGCTGGGAAGGAATAACAGATAACCCAGGGGCCTGCATAAAGAGATGCTAGAAGATTGGAGATCTGGTTAAGGTCACATGGAAAGTCCTAGAATGAGAGAGGTGGAAGGAAAGGAAGGCTGTAGTAAAAGACAGAAAGGCTTTAAAGTTTAAGGTTTCATAGGAAGAATAATTCTGAGTGATGAAACCATCTAAGGCATCGCCTTGTCTGTTACTGGAGTGAATGGGGTGAAGGTCTGTTGATGAGAGGTCAAGGTAATGTGAGGCTAGAGCTAAGGATTGGATCCTATATGCTGAAATGACCCAGAATAGTGGAGGAACCAAAATTAGAGAGCAAGACTATGAGTCAGATGTCAAATTTGCTAATAAACAACATTGTGAATAGTAGGTATAAGGAAGCCACAAGCTGAGAAGTGGAAAATGCAACAAAGTAGGACATTAGTACAAGGTGATTTCCATGTCTCAGCAAGCAGCCCTTCCCTAATTGCTATGTATTTCTTCACTTGGCAAAAAAACTTTTGAAGGACAGGGCCTGTCTCATTTGATGTATCAATCCCACAGTACCTTGCCCAGTGTTTGGCAACAATTGGAAAGAAGAGATCATAAAATCTCTTTACTCTAAAATTGGTGATTCTTTATTCCTATTTATACAGTTCTAGTACCTAGAATGCCTAGACCTTTCTCTACCATGCTATTCAGTATTTATTTCTTCATATATCATCTTCTCCCATCAGTCTATGAGGATAGAGACTGTCACATTCATTACTGCCATCCCAGCAAGAAATGCCTGATCCACATTAAAGATTCCAATGTTTGCCAAACAAACAAACAAACAAATAAATAAATGAAATCTTTAAGCTGTTAATGACTATAATTCTGATTAAATATCATCGTTAAGTGCTAAGTGCTTTTACATTCTAATTTAATCCTCTCAACAAGTGGAAGTGGGAAGAAGGGAAACCGAAGTTCAGAAAGGTTAACTATCTTGCCCGAAGACACACAGGTCATAAAGTTTAAAGTTGGCATTTGAGCACAGTTCTGACTTCAAAACTTGTTTTCACATCATGTTGTACCAAGCCTAGACAAAGTATAACAATTAAGACTTTTTAGGAGACCAGATTTAGTGTATAGTTTCACAGTGCTAACTTTTATCACTAGGGCAGATTCCCATGGGATTTTTTTTTCAAGTTACAAGCTTGCACTAGTCCTGTGTCCTCTGAGAAGCGGATGCCAAAATGAGATCAAACATGCAAAATTTTACTTAAAATGTGCAAGGAAAGGCCCTGGGAAGGAAAACATGGGTAAAGAAAGCCAGAGAAAGCTGGGAGCACCATTAGATCCTAGAAGCAGGTGAAGGAGAAAGGGAAAGAACATTGGATAGAAGCATCCTACATTGCCATGTAGTGTAATGAAGGTTATGCAAAGCAGGAGTCTTGAAGTTACAAACTGCCATCAAAAGGGACCTGTTGCCCAGAAACTGATGTGCTTTAGCATCTTTGCCACAAGTCATTGGCTTGCAGCAGCTGGTGGGAGGTGTGGCCTCAGCTCAAATGCAAGTTGGATTTCAAAGCCAGCAGCTGGGGAGATTAATTATGCTCCCCACGCTTGAAGGTCAGTCAGGTCCATTTCCAGGGCTGCCACATCATGCTGGAAAGCTTTTTGAAGGGTTGCTTTCTGTTTTACCTCCTCTGTTTACCCACCTGGGGACAGTGAATTTCTATATAGCCTTATAGCCTTACCATCTTTGGTATCACCCAGCAAATCTCAGTAGAATGGAGTGTATATTAAACAAGTAAATACTTTTTAAAATTCTCTCTCCTCCCTCCATTTGGACATACTTTTCTGAATAAAAAGGTATGAGTGCTCAAAGCTTTTGATTCTTTGGATTGATCCCACTTGAGGACTTTGGTTATAGCGCATTTGTATTATGTACTTGGATTATTATGTTTACCAAACTCTGACTCCAAAGTCCTGTTTTAAGCTCTATTTTGAACAGTCTCTTATATAGCCATAAACCCCAGAATTGGTGCTTTTATTCAGTAAAACATTAAGCACCTCTGTGTCAAGCATGGTATTAGAATACAAAAATGAACAAGCGATTTGTGAGTCTTAAATTGTAAAAGTGACTGAGTGACAACATGGAGAGGTCAATGCCATTGAAGGAAAAGTTTAATGTTCCTTACAGTTCCCCAAGAAACAAGAGGCACAGTATTCCATGCAGGGCCACAGGTGAAGGACCAGTGTTGGTCAGGAGATAGAGAGGAATGAAGGGAAAGTATAGGCCAGAGCCTTTTTGGGGTTTCCATGGGGAAGTCAAGGCAGAGCAGGGTAAACATCTTAGGATTGGCTAGTTCGAATAATTCTGGCCAACTTTGGGACATAGGGGCTGTTCTTAGTTGTTTGGTATACGGCCCCAGGATGATTTAGGGAGGGGAAAATTGTTTTGGTGTCTGAGTTAAAGGAAGTGGTTAGGGGTATGGGCAAGGGATTGGTTGGTTTATATATGAAATGCAGGTTCACTGACAAGTTGTTTGCTCTCTCTAGAAATTAACTAGTCCTGGGAGGGGCAGTCTCTCTCTAGCCATCAAGGTCCCCCCAAAAATGTCAAAACATCATAAGATATAGAAAACTTAAAAAGACCCCAACATAATTATTAGGAAGAAACCAATTTTTTTCATTTTCTGTCTCCATTAAGTTAATAAACAGCAAAGGAGCAGAAGGCAGGTATATCCAACCGGTTTTTCCCTCATTCCATTTAAGCATACGGGTGACTTTTTTAAAGAAAAAATTTAAAGTACAAGGGGCTCCTATTCTTTATCCATTGTCCATGGTTTTCTAAATATAAGCTAACAATTATTTTCAATTCTTTCAACTCCTGTCTTTGCCCATTGCCATTTTTGTCCTGAACTGGTTCCATGGAGAAGAGAGCAACATTTATGTTCTTCTGTGCCAGAACTGTGTTCACCCTTCAACATACATTCCTTGGCTACTGAGGAATTAAGTCAAATAAAAACAACTTTAACATTTATTATTTAAGAAGCACTCTGACTTGCCATTTTAGTGGTACAATTTAAAAACTAAGCATATAAAGCTAAGCATTGCACATGCTTCTATATTTTTGTGTCTTTTCAAAACTTTACTTTTGCTAATGTAAAATCAGATATTTTCTCTTCAGTAAGTTAATACCGTCTCCTTGACACCTGAAATAAAATTTCTTAAATCCTTTACCCTTGATGTACATATGTGTATAATATATAATATATAATATACATAATGATGTATAATATATAATATAGTAACATGTATATATGTCTACCTAGTTTACCTGGGATCTGTGGGATCTGTAGGCTTGTTGATTACTTAATACATTATTAGGGGTACTTTTGAGGACCAGATCAAAAGAACATTAGAATGCAATTGTTAAAAATCACTTTCTGGTAATTAAATTTTTTGAATAGGTAACAGGTCCATGTGCTTCAGCCTAAAATGTTAATTATACATATTTTATGTTATTGCATATAATTATATGCATATATAATTATATATGATTATGCAGTTGTTTCTTTTTTGCTTGTCCCTCAGCTACCATTTCCTTTCCTCATACACACTACTGTTTTTAGTTTCTTGTTTCTCCTTCTAGTTACTTTATGGATATACCAGTAGATACACACATATATTAATATGTTTTCCCCCATCTTTTTTCCCCACAACCACTTGGATATATTTAAAATAAAACACAACAACACATTTTTGGTAAACAAAATTTAATACAACCATGTAGTCAAGTAATAATGGTTAAAAGACATTTTATTAGATACACCTTTTAAAAAATACTATGCGCAAAACATATAAGTATTAATGTGCTACCATGGAATTGAAAAAAAAAAATTACAAAGCTTTTTTTTTTCCCCCCACCGTGAAGACTCTGGAACCTCTAATTAAAGGTAAATGACATTTGGCTGCCACAGTTATATACAAGTTGTAAAGGATAGTATACTTTTGTTCAACTTTACAATTGTGTTGTCTCGGCTCCAGAAACTCAACAAAAATTTAACTAAAGAAACGGTGGGGAGGAGTGATGGGAAAGAGAAGAGTAAGTACTTTTTTAAGAAAGTTAAATGAAAAAGCTTGTAGAGCAAAAAAAAAAAAAAAAAAAAAAAAAAAAAAAAAAAGTACATAATGGAACAAAAATAAGTAGATTTACTTTTTGGATATTACATGTAGATATTACAAATGATGTCTTCAAGGGCTTAATCGATGTCAGATGGACGTTTTTCTGAATATCTTAAAAAGCACCTTGGTATTAAAACCAATAAAACCCAACCCCAAAATATAAAAACTCCAAACACTCAGCCTCTCTTAACATTCTCATTTGGCCGAGCACCACACAGTTGGTGCTCATTATAAAACTTAAGAAGGACTTAAATGAAAAAAAAATTAAGTTTATTTACTCTATAGGAAACAAATATGAAACTTATCTAAGGTAAGCTTTATTTAGATTGGAAAAAAGTTGAAATAGCACTAGAGAACTTAAGGCACAAATTCAGATGCAGTGATTTTTAAAACATTAAAACAAATTCTTTTCTTTGGAACAATACACAAAATAAGTTATGACTGCTGCTGTTTTTTAAAAAAATTACTTATGATTATCTCTAGTACTAAGTAAATTTAATATCTAGGCAATCACACAAATGTAAAACATTCATATAAAACATTTAAAAATGTTTGAATTATGTTGAAAACATCTCTGGAATTATCAATTCACACTCCTGGCTCAAGTGGTTTCTGGTGCCTAGCATTAGATATGACGATAAGTATAGCTAGCTAGTCAAACCTATTGACTTAAAGGTCAACCAAATTGCCCCATTCTGGTTATGTGGTATGGTGAATTTATTTATTTAACTAAAAAGAATAATGGGGTGAGGTGATGTAAACTTGGCTTTCAATATAATGCACAACAAATTCTAATAAGGCCAAAATTATGTTGAGGTTAACTGGTGTCTTGAGTTTACTAAAATAATGGCAGTCCATAGGAAGCCTTTAGGAGACATTATCTTATCACTTGTCACCACATAAATAGCAATCTCTCCTCTTTGAAAATAGTCTGGAGTAGATGTCTTTTCCACATATAAATCTCAAGACATAGCAGGCACACACAAATAAATCAATCCCTCTCTTTTCACGTATGGATTCTCACAGCAATTAAAAAAAAAAAATCTATTGCCATATCCAGACAACAGGAAAAAAACATACCTGGTTTGCATATTGACAAAAGTAGTATAACTGAACCTTTGTCTTTCCTGAGTTTCAAAAAGGGTATTTGACAGTAGAGATACATAAACAATTCATATTCGCTAAGAGAAAATGTATCAGTCCACAAAACATTTTCATCTTTCTAAATGTAAAAGAATGAATGTTCAACCACCGCCATGTGTGAAGCCCCTTTACCAAATAAAATTTATTCTAGAATCATGAACCGAAGGTTACTTAGTTATGGCATTTTAAACCCCCCAAATAGGCAAAAATGACAAGTTAATACCCTCCCTGAGTATTTACATCATTTTTCTTAACAGCTTGTTTAAACGTAGTAAATATCTATATTTCAGTCATCTAGAAAAAAAATGGTTACTGAAGATCCAATAGGCTACGATTTCATACCTGTGCTGCAAAGTCAGTGAGAAGAGTAGAGAAGAAAAGGAAGGTCTTCAGTGGTAAGAATTAGACCACTCAATAGTTCACTCACATATAGGAACACATGGAAAAGAATGCAAATTCATGAAAAAAACAAACTGTACTTTTCTGCTGATCCACAAACCATAACCTTCAATTCCCTTTCCCACCAAGTGGGTTTAGCAAATACATCTCTACCTCCAATATGTTTTCTGACCTTGTAAAACCATATGTATTATATAGATTCTAACTGTATTTGTCATCATATTAATATTCATCATGTACTTTCAAATGTAAAACGGTATTCTAGAAATGCCTAAATAATCTTCTGGAATTGAATTTAATAAGGTCAATTATTTTTTAATTTATGTGCTTTTTTCTGACCGTTACAAACTGATACAATTCTGGGTGTTTGTATATATGTGTGTACATGACCATACTATCAACCCTCATATATACATGTATATACATATATACTAACCTGAAGGCTTATATGAGCATTACCTATCAAAAGAAAATCAACTGTGTGATGACAGTAAGAATATAATTTGACACCAATTTGGTTGATATATTTCTTTTGATATACTAATTATAGTCTAAAATTCTTTTTTAGTTTATCAATGCTAATATCATTATTTATCAAAAATCAGTAAAGGAAGGTAAACAATTAAAGGAAATTAAACTATCATTTGGGTAACTTTAAAAATGGTTACTCTGATTTCCTAGTTTTCAAGTTAAGTTCTTAATGGCCTATTTAATTTATGTAGCTTTAAATTATGTAGAGGAAAAATTAGACAATATTGGTATGAGGCCTATATTTAAACGAATTCTGTTTTATCAAATTTCATTTCAAATTTACTATAATGAACACATGAATATTAAAAATAAGTGAATAACAAAATATAAGTAAATAGTTAATACTTTTACAATAGACAAAAATACTAGAATGCAAGTTATCTTGAGAAAGAATTTTTGTGTGAAGTGTCTGTATTTATGGATGGACGTCATCTTACAAATAAACATGAAATAACAAGTATCATTTGTATAATCCTCAGCATTTACACTTTTCTCATACATTATCTCAATTTCTGAACTAAGTAGGTTCCATTATCTACAAGAAGTATAATGCAAAAGTAGATGTTTACTTGAAAATTAAAATAAGTATACTAATTGTACCTACAATTGTCTTTCAACCAAAATGACAGAACATTGTTTTTTGAATTGCTCTAATAATTATCAGAAAAAGGTACATATCATTTCAAATTATGATTCAAAAAGTAAAAATTCCCTAAAAATGTGTAAGTTTTTCAGAGTTTTCCTCAGAATTCAGATTCCAGCTAAGCATCCAAGTTGATGCTGTAGTCTTTATTCGAAATCTCGGTATCATTCTATGTTGAGAAAAAAAAGCAGTTTATCAATATTAAGTTTTCAATTACTACCTTGGTTTTAACAAAAATCTGGTGACACTATAATCAGATATTTGCACCATCTCTCCTATGACAAAGAGTATATAATTATAATGTGAGATGACAATAGTGCCTGAGAAGTTCCAGGCTACCTGGAACATCCCTAAAATGTTGTAAATTATATCTATTCACCCAGAAATAACAAAAATCACTTATGTTGTAGTTCCTGATACTCCATTTGCCTTAGAAAAAATTTTATATTCCTCTCTGAAAACTTGTAAGCTTTATAAACTGGAGTTGGAAAATCGAGACAAGGGCAATTTGTTGTATAGAAGTTTGAGAATGTTGATCAATATTTTACACATGGGTATCAAAAAACAGATTTATCTTAGAAGACTACAACTATTGCTGTTAGTTTTTTTCAGATAGCTAATTTTAAAAGAAAAATAGACCCACTGAGATAGGTAGTCCCCGGTTTATCCTTTAAAGACAACTTAACAGTAGAGACTCCCAGGATTTTTAGATGTTCACAAGAAAGTAGGATAACCAGGGAGGAGGCCCTCACCCAAAGCACCATACTAATGAGGTCAAATCCTACTGGGCTAGGGAGAAAAATCTGTCCCTGTTTTTCACAAGGTAATATTGTGAAATGGATTTCAACTCCTTTGCCAGGTTCAAGAAAAGGAACTTCCTTAGAGGATTCAGAGACGATACATTAATACTTTGAGAGCCACAATGAGTCATTTTCCCTTCAATGGGTCTTAAATAATTTTTTCTTAGGAATTAATCTGTTATTTTAATTCCAATTTTAGGAGTATCTACTTTTGTATCTCCTACTCAACCTCTTCTCAGAAATATGTTTAATATAAGACAGCAATTATAAGAATAAAGTCATGATCATTTAATATTTTATGACTCTCAGATTGTTGTCATCACATTTTTATCAATTACATAAAAAAAACCCTCAAAATTAATCAGTTTGGATACAGTTTTAGTGACAAAGACTTTTAAAATTGATTTTTTCCCCTCTTAGAATGCATTCTGAGCATTACGTGAGTCAACCTAAATGAAGCCTTAAGTCATGCAATTTTTATATACACACGACTAAGTAAGGAATATATAGCCTTGCAGATGAACATATATAAATGAAGAGACCATTCACAAATTCCTAAAATATATGCAGACACATATATTTCCTATTTCCTATTCCACATATATTTCTTACAAATACTTACAAAGAGACATTCTCAAAGCCTGAGCAACACTACTATTACCAACAACAACAAAAATCTTTTTTTTTTTTTTTTTTTTCATTTACAGGTAAGGCTTTATTACAGTTTGAAAGATTGATATTTTGGGGGGGAAAGGCACCAGAATTATTATTTTTACTTTTTGTGTATATAGCACAAATGAGATATGCCAAGTTCCCACTCTGAGTTTTTAAAATCTCTCATCTTGGATCGATGTGGCTTCTTGGGTGAAGTATCCTGGCTTTAGAGCTTAAAGCATTTCTCATTGTATCTATGAATAGTCACACAGCCATGATAGGACACTGGCCTGGGCATTGCGGCTACCCCTGTGATGATACTTGTCGCAGGATCATAACAGAGAATAGTGTCTGTGGCTTCTCCGTTTTCCCGTCTTCCACCCAGGATATATATTTTACCATTACACACAGACATTCCACAGTTTTCCTGTTTAACCAAATAGATAAAAAAAAAAAAATTAACTGTTGAAGGTAACGGATTTGGTAGCAAACTGAAAAGTAAAATACAACACACTTTAACACAGTCAAAAAAAAGGAGACATGAAGTAAGTTCCTTTTGCCCAACTCTTGCTCTATGGGTGAGTGCTCTAGGTAATTTTGCATGGGTGAAGGGAGTGTTAAGACAGAATGTATGTTAGTGATTGGGGCCAAGATATGGGAGGTGAAGTTGGACTGGGGGTGGTGGACTGAGAAGGGTTTTAACTTCGTGATAGTTGAAAAAAAAATCTTGCTTTTCCTATTACAGGAGGGTCCTTTATTACAGAAGGTGGCTAAAATATGACCAAATGACGGGGCACATTATTTATTATATGAGATTACCCACAAGTTAAATGAATGAGAGAAAGAGTTATAATTAAATTAACAAAGCGCTATTAGGGCCCTTGGCTGGGACACAGGAACTCGCCAAATAACTTTTTAACAGTTCTTTCCACATAATGGAAATTCTTAGCTGAATTGTATTCTTCTCTATCAACAATATAATTACTATATAAAACAAATATTCTTGCAAGGATGAAAGTGATTCTTCAAAGAAAGAAGTTACATTAAATTGTCTCACTATTGCATGGATCTGGTTATGCTGCGGGTCAAATATTCTATTTACATTTCATTTTAATTGAGAAGGTTATTGCATATTATTATCCTGTTTCCACATAACCAAGAATGAGATGGTTCTACTGAGTACAATAAACATTTTTTACTTGACTAGATTTGTTGTATATCTATAAATTTTGCTGTTGTAGAAAAAAATCAAATTCTGGTAGACTTATATAATAGAAGATAGTATCTTCAGGTCTAAAAGAATTAGTGAGTACTTAAAAATGCCTATATTAAGAGTTTTTATATACCCAGAATAACTTGGCCAATTATCATTAATAAATAGTTTATCCAGAATACCACCCATGAATTGTACCAATTATGTACCAAACTATAACATTTCTCATCTAAAGAACAATAAGCTCTTTCTATAAATTCCAAAAGTTCTGAATACAATAAAAAACAATGACATCCTTAGCTTTCACAAGCTTCCTTACACTATTGAATCTTATAGTTACCTTGATGATGATTCTTAAACTATATAATTACAGGATCTTATTATTAACATCATTTCAGATATTCAAGTTCAGAATTAAATGAAGCAAGCAACCTTGAAAACAGTTTTTCATTCATATCAGGAAATTACTTGTACCAGATATAATAGTTTATTTTGCTCTATGAGAATCTCAAGAGTAATCACAGCTAGTAAAAAAAATTAATCAATACATGAAGTTATTTTTCAAGACTAAAATGAAACATGACCCAAATATTGTAATAAAACCCCTCTCCTTAATTATTATTTTAAAATACTGCTTAAATGCCAACAATAAAGAAAGAGAAATCGGATTTCTTTTCATTTGTTATTCTAAACTTTAATGATATCTTAAATACCTGGTCTACTGAAGGCTAAAAAAAAAATCTTTGTCATTGACTTAAGAAAAAAAATCCCACAAATTTTTAAAGGATGTTTCTGGTGAAAGTTAAAGAGTAAAATATGTTTAAAATAGCAAGTTGTGGCTTCTGGAATTATGCAAAGTCAAGAAGCATGATGGGGAGGAATAGATGGCGAAAATGCTGGGTCCATTTGGGCTACAAAAAAAAGAGCTCATTTTTGCACTCTTTCTTTTTTGTTATTATCAGGGTTCTAAATGTTTTAAAAAACACAGCCTTAGAGTTAAGTAACTGTCTACCATACAGTTACAGTTGACTTATTCTTTTCCATTGATTAGCATTAAAAGGGTAGGCAAACAGAGATGGTTCGAAATTTGCCTATCAATAATATATACATAGATATACTTAAAGGTACTAATAGTAAGAATGGACCGGGGAGAAACAGATAATCCCAGAAATCTCAGTATTGTTTGCTTCAAGAGACTTGACATAGAATATTAGACCCAAACTTCAGTGCTTTGTTTTTATAATAGATTTAACATATTTCTGATCTAAATGTTTTTTCCTTGAAATTTCTGACATCATTGTTATTCATTGCCTAAATAGAGAAAATGTGCCATGTGTGTCCTGTGTGTCCTGTTGTTTGTTTCTCAATCATTTAGTTAAGAACATAATCATTGTATGCCCTGCATTATGCTAGATGCTGGCAATTATCTTTCTAAGCCCTGTTATAATTTTATACAGTATAGCCAAGTTCTAAATGAATAGTAATTCTTAGTGAAAATGTATTATATTTTTAAATAGTCACTGTAATAAACCAATGGAAAAAAGCTTTGTTAAAAAAAATATAGAAATAAGTGTAAACGTTTGTCACACAGATGAATGTTAACCATAATGTGAGTTCTTATGTCGTAGGGCACACACTCTCCCCTTTACAAAGCTGGACTGTCCCTTCCAGGAGAGGCCACTGAGCTAGAGAAATGTGATTCATTTTACTTAAGTGTGATATTAGAGGGATAGAAGATTATATTCCCTCTATATCATAAAGCTGAAGATTTTACTATGTCCCTTCACCAGGTGGGGAAATTTTACTCTGAATACATTCCTAATTGGAGACTATAGCTCAGTGTCAACAACTTTAGAAAAATTGTGTTATACTCAAACCCTACTGATTGTCGTTATAGTCTATACCTCTTATGTAACTTGCAGATAAGATTGTCTTCAGATTAGGTCCTTCTGTTACTTCATTGTCTCATTTGTTTACTAATTTAATAAATATTTACTAAGCACCAATAAATGCAAGATACATAAGAGATGAGTTAGAAAAAAAGTATCCTCAACTGAATTTCAGCATAAAAATAAACATTTATATACCCATAAGGGGATATATGACTGCCATAATAGAGTTGTAAGTGCAATGACAGATCAGGAAAAAAAAAAAAAGACATGAATTCTGAACAGATAATCTCAGTTTGCTATAACTATGGAGTGGTCCGAAAAATGTGTAGAATTACAAGCAGAGAAGGCAGAAAAGGCATTAAAGGCTAAGAGAACAGAATGAACCAAGGCAAGAAATAGGAGATATGTATAGTGAATACAAGTAACTGATATTTAATGTAATTGGTGTAAAGTTGCAGAAAGTGAAGCTGAAAAGGCAAGCAGAGGTCAGACAACAGAAGACTTTGAATGAAGTGGGATAACTTTTGGATTTTATTCAGTAGGTTTCCAATCAGAGAAAAGACATAATTATGTTTGTTGGAAAATAATTGGTAGCACAATGGGTTAGAGAAGCAAGACATTAGAAAAAGGGATACTAGATATTTTAGTTTAGGTAAGAATAGGCACTGAAAAGAAAAGGAGAAACTCTGAGGACATAGAACTGATATGCTAGATTTATTCAATTTAAAAGAAAGTGAGGAAAATCTAAAAAATTAAGTTTCTAGGTATGAAATAACAGGAAATATATATATATTTCTCTCTTCCCCCAGTTCCTGACACAGAGCTCCTAATCCCTTGGAATTTCCTGGGTGATAGGAGTGTCTCTTGGTGGGCTTCTTGATAAGGGCTGGTCACCAGAAGGATCAAGCCATACACAGAAGCTTGGAACTTTCAGTCCTACCCTCTATTCTCTGGAAAGGGGAGAAGGGCTGGAAATTGAGTTAATAATGGGTAATGCCTACATGATGAAGCCTCCATAAAAATCTCAAAGTACAGGATTTGGAGAGCTTGCAAGTTGGTGAACACATCCATGTTCTGGGAGGGTGGTGTACCTCAACTCCACAAGGACGGAAGCTCCTGTGCTTAGGACCCTTCTGGACCTCACCCTATGTACCTCTTCATTTGGCTATTCATATGTCTCTTTTATAATATCCCTTATTACATAATAAACTGGTAAACATAAGTAAGTGTTGTTCTAGCAAATTATCAAACCTGAGAAGGGGGTTCTGGGGACTATGATTTCTAGCCAGTCAGTCATAAATGCTGGGGACAACCTAGGATTTGTGACTGGCATCTGAAGCAGGCGCAGTCTAGTGGGACTGAGCCCTTATCTTGTGTAATCTAACACTAACTCCAGGTAGATAGTGTCAGAACTGAACTGAATTGTAAGACACTCAGCTTGTGTTAAAGAATTGATTGGTGTTAGAATAAAACCACATATCAGGTGTCAGAAGTGTTTTGAGTACAAGGGAGATATAGAGTTTTTCCATTCACTAGGTTGTTTTGAAACAGAAAAAGTAAGCTTGGGGAAGAACACTCTTGGAAAACATCAAATAAGCAGTTGGGAATTTGTCTGTAGCACAACTGAGAGGTTTTAATGGAGATAGACACTTGAAGTCATCACTACTGGGCAGTAGGTGAGATCATTCAGGAATAGAGAATAAACTGGGAAGAGGGCAGGGAAAAGAGGCTCAAAGAATACCCACATTTAAGGGTTGGGTAGAAAAAGATAAGAATATGAATGAAAGTGGGAGAGTATTAGTAATGACCTTTGGGAGAACAACATCTCTAGAGTAGTATAGGTAGAGCCAGATCTCCAGCATCAGAACCATCAAGCATTTTGGTGGTAGAAAAAAGGAGTGTGGAGCCATGAATCAAATGCTGAGCGAAGGCCTTCTGGAAGTAGGGGGTTGGAGGGGAAGTAGGGAGATAGATATAGGCTGGAGTGTGTGGATGAAGACACTGAGCACAGCCATTTCCATTATAACAACAAAGAAACCCCACAACAAAGTAGCTTCTTACTACGGAAAGAAAAAATCAGTTTGAGAGTATTTCTTATCTTTTGAAATATGCAAGAGAGAGCTAAGGACCAAAACAAGATTCAGAAAAAGGTCAAGGGGAAAAAATCAACAGACCAAGTGCAATAGCTATTTCACCATGGGATGGTAAAAAGTTAAGATATTTCAATAAAACAATTCCTTGAAAGGAATTCACAACAGGTATACTATATGCTTTATGTGGAGTTTTAAAATATTATGAAATAATTCAAGCACATATGAAATATTTTAATAGTGGAATTACAGTATATTCATAATGATCATGTACTTGGTCCCTCCTATATTCAATTTCTTTTGGACTGTTTTATGTTATTACCTGCCGGCTGAATGTATTCTGTACATGCATCCAGTAATCTTCAACTGGATCATAACAGTATATTGCCTTGGTCAGTCCACCAGCAACATATATCAGGTTGTTTAAGGATACAGCTGTTATACACCTCTTGGCAATTGGGATAGCTGCACGAAGTAGCCAAGAATTGGTTTCTGGATCATAGGACTGAACCTAATAATATATAGAAATATTTAATTAAAAATTTTAAACAAAAGTGTAAATTTGCTTAATAAAAGGTTAACCAGTAAATAGAAACATGATTAAAAATCAAATCCCATTAATTCACAGAATTAAGGGAGGTTAGCTTGATAGTGAAATGTCTGCATTATGAAATTCTCAAAGGAAATACAAATTTATTACTATGAAGCTGAATAAAGTAACAGATTCATTCTAGGATGAATGGCTACCAGGTTTGCTTTACTTTTGTCCAGTAAAATTAACAAAAAATTGTGTTATATAGAATTACTATGTTTCGATCTGAAAATAATTTCTTTACTCTTTTAGGGAACCCTTTTTACAAAAGAACACAAGGAAATCTCAATTCAGTATACTTTGAATCATCACAAATTCTGGATTAACAAATTTTAAATATGTAACTTTTGACCACGTTATATTAAAAGTTAATATAGAAAAAAATTGACAAAATTCAGCTAACTATTGCTAAACTTATTAGACAATAGATAACCTGTTTCCAGAATAAACATGGTATTTCCTGAGATGTCAAGGTGGCATAAGGTCTTTTGTCTTAGCAGTTCAATGAAATGCAACAACTTTGAGCCATCCTCTATTTATATTACAGAGGTTTCCTCTCCTCTTCTTCATTCTAAAAATACTTCTAAAGTATGCAGAAAATGACCCAGTTGGAAGCAGTATAATTAGTTACTGTCTAACCCTTTGCTAATTTGCTTCCAGTTTTTTGATTCTGAAGACTATAAAAGCAAAAGGTTTAAAACAATTTATTTAGTATAAGATCTCAACATTGAGATTAGTCTCATTTCAAAAAGACTGGACCATGCTTTTTACAGCAAATCGTTAGCTATATAAGGATCTCACTTTAGCAACTCGAAATTCAGTGTTCTCCCCCTAAAGTATAAAGTATCAGTTTTTAAAAGGCTCTTCGCCTAAGGGACCTTGCTACCTACTTGATAAGCCTTCTGCATTTCTGTTCTTGTATATATCATTGGTAATTTCTATAAGAGAACATGGCTTACCTTATCAGAACAAGTATTATCATCAGGTCCTCCACCAATCACAAACAATTTGCCTACACAGCTAGTCACAGCAGGAGAACTCACTGCTTCCTTAAGGGGAGCAACTTCAGTCCATCGATTTGAAAAGGAATCATAACATTCTACGCTGCTAAGTCTGTTTTGCCCATCATAGCCTCCAACAACATATACCTATATATAAAATACAAGGAAAAATCTAAATTATCGAAAGTCTGAATTTTGAACTAGTTGGCTAAAGAAGTAAATGATCTCTCCCCATAAAGAGTCCTTGATAATCATAATTGCAATATATTTAGCTCAGTTTCTGGAACTTTTTAAAACATTTCATCCTCTTACCACCATCAAGGAGTCTTTTTATACTTTTTTTTTTTTAAATAATAGCCCCCTCCAATGAAAATTTAATATCACAGATAACTGTATATCTGTTTATGTACTATATGTATATCTGTGCTTTATATATGAAACAGTACAATTTTTTTTACTCGCTCAAGAACAAATTTTCGCCTCCTTAGGGATGGTACTGCTCAAGTTGAGAATTACATGATTTAGCTTAAATGTTCAAAATGGATAATGAAAATATTTGATTATGATAAAGGAATAAAGCTATGAAACTAAAATATTAGGTAAGGATTACTAGACTGTAAGATCTTTGAAGGCAGGGCTTATCTTTTTCTTCATTTTAGCCTCTCTGACATATAGTGAACTCTATACTGTATATTTCAAAGGGCTTTCGTATACATTTTCTTTTCACAAATATGAGGAAGGTAGGGCAAATTAGTATCTTTATATGCCAGATGAACTAATCAACAAGCCATTTATTAAATGATTTATTTGCAAAATAGTCCAGAACATCATGAGATATGTAAGAAACTTTTAACTTAAAGGCGTTGTCCAGTTTAACACCCACAGTTCTTTTAATGGACAGTCATCATCAACTCTTCCCTCCATATCTAATTAACTACAGTCTTCTTTTACAGTATCTCTCACATCTGTCCCTCCTTTTTTTTTTTTCCCATTGCCACTATCTTCCTTCAGGGTCCATGTCATTTCATACCTCTCAATTAATCTTCTGGCTTCCACTCTAAACCACAGATTAATCTTCCCCAAACACCTCATCAACTCCTTTTAATAGTTCAACAATGAATGCCTAAGGGTTAAGGCCAAATTTTATACATTGTCATTCAAAGTCTGTCCACAATTTATCTTTGTGTTACAATTTCTATAGCAGCCAAAGCCATTACTATCTTGTATTTCTCACATTATGTTAAAATGATCTTTTGGTGGGTTTGTTCTCCCAATACCATGCAGCTCAGAGAGGTTAAGTAATTTAATCAAATTATGCAGTTAGAAGGGGGATGGAAACTGTGGTACAATGTAGCAACCAAGAACATAGGCTCTGAAGTCAGGAGAGGAAGTGTTCATATGTAGCTCAGTCACACAATGTAAGACCTTGGGCAGCTTACTTATCCTCTCTGAGACTTAGTCTTAATTTCCTCAATTTAAAAGTGTGGACAATAACAGCAGTTATCACATAATATAATTTTGAAGATTAAATTTTAATACTACTTTTACACATGCATAAATTAAAAATATATGTTGTGAGCATCAAGATAAAAGGTCTCTGGATTAAGGAAATCTGAGCTTTTGCTCATGCTTCATCATTTTCTGTGTAACCTTGAGCAAGTGACTTGATCTCTTTGGATTCAGTTTATGACTTAAAAAAGGTACATTAAGTTTTCTCTAAGATTCCTTCCTGCTTTAAGATTCTATATTCCAAATCATCCTAGGGTTCTTTAACTGACAGATTTTATAAATGTAAATAATTTTATAGGTTTGAATTCAGCCTATATTGTAAGTTTTAAGATAATGTAAATTTTAGGATTGAGTACTTGTTGTGTAAGGTAGGAAGGATTCCTCTAATTTCTTGATTTAATGATTCTAAGTTTTGAGTACCTTCAAGACAAGTATACTAATATTTCTCAAAGAAATTTGTGTTCACCAATCCATATATAGCATTTGAGACATAATCATTTTCATTGCCTTTGTTTGTCCAGACTAAATAATTGTAACTTTTTTAGTCAGAAATCATCTCTTTCCAATCCCTTATTTTAATTGCCCCCTTTTAGTAATATTCTGTCATTTTTGAGACATAGCTACCAAAACTATATAACACAGTAGGGAATGACAAATCAGTCAGTTTAGAAAATATTTTATTTCTAATACATCTCTCTCAAAGTCCTCGTTATTTCAATGATCTTGTCGATAGCAGCAGCACACTAGATCAATATCCTTGGGAACTGACAGTAGCTTTCTAAACTGTGCTTTGAGAAGCTCTAGAATTCTTTAGTACAGACATTTAAGGAAGCCTCTGTGGCAATAGGGGGGAGGGGAAAAGGACTGATGGGAGGCTCGGTGGGAAGGGTTCCTGGCACCATCTCTGTTTCCATTAGAGCAGTTTTGTTTTCTCATTGGTGGCTCTAAAATGTCTCCAGAGGAGTGCCTAAGAGGTAGTGATCTTTTCGAAAGGGGTGCTAGGGCAGAGGTCTCCAACCCCTGGGCCATGGACCAGTAGCAGTCCATGGCTTGTTAGGAACCAGGCTACACAGCAGGAGATGAGTGGGGTGGGTGGGGCGAGTGATTGAAGCTTCATCTGTATTTGCAGCCACTTCCCAGTGCTAGCATCACTGTCTCAGCTCCAGCTGAGATCATCAGGCATTAGGTTCTCATAGGAGCACCGGTCCCTGGGGACCGCTGTGCTAGGGGACCAGTCAAAAATACATGTACAAGCCAAGTATGCTGCTTTTACTTAGACTGTTCATTAATTTGAGGTGGCTTGAGAAGAGGCGGCAAAGATGGAGGTAGGGAAAAGCTAAAGAGCCCATGTTAAACCTTTGTGTAATTACTATATATTTATCTGTTTCATGGAATAAATTTTTCAAATGAGATTTAGCTTTTAAAAAGAGGGTGTAGCTGCTTTTTAAGTTTGTAACCACTAGTCCACAAGTGATTCTCAAGTTCCTAAGGACAGCAATTGGTTCAGAATCAAATTATGTATATTTTTTATATGTATTATCTGCAGTCGATAAGAAATTTTAAAATATGTTAGTGAGTTTATCTTATCATTTATTTTCAATTTGTTTGGTCTCTACTTATATGAATAAAAAAGATAAAATAACATCGCTCTAGATAAATATATCTCTGCTTGACTGCCTAAGTCAGTAAAAGGAAAAAGATTGCTTGGATTAGACATTGGCCTGTTTTTGTGCTTGATGTAACTCCTTTATTTTCGAGTGCTTCTTAGGCATTTAGACTCCAATGGTGCATGAAAAGAGAAATGTGCTGCACTGCCACGAATTCCAAATTGGGAGAACAAAATATCCATTCAAAAGTACAGTGTCAAACTGTTTATATCTTTAGTTTATCTACTGAGGTTAGAAATGGAAGGAAATACAGTTTGAATCCAAAATACTCAGAGGGTGACTAAAATGAAGGATTCAGCTGTGGTATTTATTTTGGAAATGTACCAGCAGTAGTAATAAAAAGTGGTTTCTCTTACTTTACCAAGGAGGACAGCCATTTTGTGACGCCATCTGCCTTTATTTAGAGAAGCAACTCTGATCCAAATATTTAACTGTGAATTATAAATCCAGACATCACGGCCATTTATTCTTCCACCTTTAATGAAAAAAAAAATGCACACACAATATACATATATACCAACAATAATATATGTATATAAACATGGGGTTTATTCACCCAGTCCTAGAATTTGGGAATTCAAGGACCCCTTAAAGATTAATAGAAATAGTTCTACAGAGCAGATTTAAACTTTGCCAATTGTTATCTCAAGAAATAATAATTACAGATCCCAAATAAGAAAATGTAGACTATGAATTTTACAAATGCATTGTTAATTTTAACCATAGTTAATTTTAGGAGTCAGATATCATCAGAAGCACCCAAACAACAGAATTATTTTAAAAGGATTTTTTAAAAACCACCCATTTTTTAAAAAGCATACCATTGTACAAAAAAAGCATGTATTGTTACACTGTTCAATGTGTAGTAATACAGTAATCTGCAAAACTGGTAAAATTAGTCAACCAATTTACAGACTTCAGACCATAGATACTGTAGTTATATTTTGTATAAGTCTGTCATTTTATTGTCTGATCTGAGAGGTAACATATCGCATATTATTTAAAAAGTTCAAGAATTTTAAAGAAAATCCTATCTCATAAACTTTGGGGAGAACTTCAGAAAACAAGGGTAGGTTAGAGATACTGAAGTCCATGAGTACTTCTGACTTTGCATACTTTGTGTTTCTTAAAACAAAGTAAATAAGTAAAAGTTTAAAAGTTTATACCATGTTCTATTTGCATCTGAGAACAGTTAAAATATGTATGGTTAAAGGCGTTTTCTGATGAATCTTTTGTAAATCACTCTATATTACCTTGTGTCTGTTTTTAAAAGCAAAAAGTCATTCTTGGTTTTATTTGTTGTATAAACCCAAAGTGGGCATGTCCACTTTGACTGTTTTCTTTGAGACACTGTCATCATTTCAAACAGCCAAGTTCAAATTAAAAGTAGCTACTATAATAATTCTTTATTTACCTGAAACAAGAATGTCATTCCTTAGAGCACAGACCGCATACTCTGATTTGGTAAATTCTGGAAGCTTAGCCAAAGACTTCCATTCTCCTGTCACAGGATCGTAGCACTCAGTGTATGGAAGATTAAATCCTCCAACTCGTTCACAGCCTCCAACAACAACTATCACCTCAGAATAGCCAGTTGACCTAAAATAATTATTGTAAGAATGAATAAATTTAAATATACTCAAGGTTGTTTAAAATCCTAACAACATACTATTATCATAAAGAAAGTGGAACGTTCTTATAGACAGTTAAGCCTATTCTCTATGCATATGTGCCGAATAATACAGGCTACCAATTACTACTTTGAGAATATTTACAAGAGATTTAGTGAAATTTTTCCACAGAAAATTCCTATGGGTATTTTTTTTTGCCTTAAAATTGTAAAGCAGTCCAAAGATCCTACCTAACTCTATTGGAATCCTGGTAATATTAAGGATGACTTTCAAATAAAGTTTTGTAGCAATCCAGATACTTATAACCACAAGAGGTAAGATAATACACTTTTCCTAAGTGTAGGAAAATGGTGCTTTTTCATCAGATTGCTAGTTCTAAAAAAATTAATTCACAGTATAATCTAATACCCTTTAAAGGAGTACCACATGACAACATTTTGGTTAAGAACAGACTGCACATAGAAGGGTGGTCCCATAAAATTATAATGAAGCTAAAAATTCCTATCGCCCAGAGACATTAGAGCCGTTGTAACGTAGCGGCACAACACGTTACTCATGTGTTTATGGTGATGCTAGTGTAAAGAAATGTACTGCACTGCTAGTCTTATGAAAGTATAGCATGTACAATTATGTATATTATGTAGTAATTGATAATAAATGATAATAAATGACTGTTATTGGTTTACAACCATGTTATGGGTTTACTATACTTTTTACCATTAGAGTGTACTCCAAAAAAAAAGTTTGCTGTAAAACAGTATGCCATGTTATGTCAGCAGTAGCCTCATACATCTTGTGTTCGATTTAATCTTGTGTTGTTTTGTACAGTAACATGCTGTAGAGGCTTAGAGTCCAGGAGCAATAGGTTATACCATACAGTCTAGGTGTGTAGTAGGCTGTGCCATGTCAGTTTGTGTAAGTGACCTCTATGATGTTTGCATAATGACGTATCCCTGTCACTAAGCGACATGATTGTATATATGTATGTTCAGAAATTATTTTTTAAAATAACTTTTTAAAAGTTAACTAAGGTACTCCAACTCAAAATGTTGGTAGTTGCTAAAAATGTTAACAAAGTTATAATAAATAATGTTAAAAAAAAGCAAGATAAAAAACTGTACATAAGGTACAATCAATACTACATTAAAAAAGTATCTGGAAAGAATATACCAAAATGCTAATGGTGGTTGTTGCTGGATTGTATGGCTTCTCATTTTCTATCAAAACAATTTTTCAAAACGGTAATAAGCATGGAATATTCTTAGAGTAGAAGAAAACAACTTTTAAGGGTACTAAGAGGTTTACATTAAACACTGGCTTCTTTTATTTTGTAGTTTAAATTTAAGATGGAGACAGGGAAAACTCAGAGCTTATTCAAGCTTTTTCTGTTTATAAGGCTCAATAGATAGTTTTGGAATTTTAAAGCAACTTGACTTTTACTTTTTTTTGCAAATGTAATTGAAATGAAAAAGTCTTGTAATTGCATTCTATGGTTGCTATAATTTTAGGTCTCATGAAGAGACCTCATCTCTTATTTAAATGTGGAAGGAAAAAAGGCCACTGATTTGTAGTTTTAGTGTGATGTTTCACAATTACGCTAGAAAAAAAACAAAATTCAGCAATATTGATATGTCCTTTTAACAGAGGTGCTATATTCTAGCTCCATTTACTCACAGCTAATTAAATCATTCACCTATTCCATGCCAGGCATACTTTTTCCATTATAAAATCAGAAATACATACCATAGAAAAGAATTTTGTTCATAGATGCAATAAAAATTACTTTTAGGAACCCAGCAAATTATATAACCCTGACCTAGTACACAGTAAAACATTATCAAGAATCCAAATATTATCAATAATATTTACTATTTTCCAAATAATTCCAAAATGAAAATATTAAAAGTAAACAGAGGAGAGCAATAATCACTTAGTAGTATAACTAGTGATTCCTTCTTTCCATTGAAGTATCATTTTCTAAAATGATACTTAAAATACCTCTAAGACAAATCTGTTTGATATTCCTTAAAGCCTTATTGATTGACAAAACAAAAATTGCTGAATACTGTAACTGAGGTTTGATAACTTCTAATTGTTTTAATGTAAAATCAATGTAATTATGATGTATTATAGAATTGTTTTATATATTCCTTATAACATTTTATTTTATACTTTCCCTTTGCTTGAATTTGCTTGCCTATTTCAAGACTTTTTGGCCCAATAACATGTATCGTGTTGTTTTTGTTCCTTGGAACGAGAAAGGAAAACAGTACAAAAAGCTAATGGCTGAAAGATTTAGTCCCACTAAACAAAGGATCATTTCAGTGTCTGCTGGAATTTGCATTTATCTGATAGAATCAGCAAACAAGTAGTAGCTTTACCTGTACTAAAGTGTCTATTTGCAGCCCAATGGCTTTTAACTTAATTAGAGATGAGTCTGGTATTCTCATTAGAGACTGTTAAACCAATAAAACCATTATTTTTATTTCTTGATCTTGGGAAAATATTTATCTCAGGCTGAGCTGATTGCCTTACAAGAAGTAAGATACTCTAAATGATAATGACAACTAGAACAAAAAAGCAGTCAAGATGTGATAGTATAAGGTGAATCAAATTCTGGATACTCATACAATCTACATTTACAGTGAAATCTACTTTACTTTATTAATGATTTAAAGTGAAAATTCTGATTTTCTGTTGTGACGAAATAAATATTTGCTGCTTTGGTACTAAGTCTCACCATTTGTTTCTAGGAAAGTATGACAATCAAATTATCCTTTTTTTTTACAGTGGTAAATATATTTTTAAATCTTTTTTTATCATAAAGTTAAGATCAAAGATTACATTCTTTGATTTATGTGAAAGGTAAAATAATCATAAATTCACAACATATTTTAAACCAAATCAACAAAATGTGTATTAATTACCAGGTTAAGAATCTCAAAAGGTGAAATATAAAACTTACCAGTTGAAATAACAAACTCACTTATTATTAATGTCAAATACACCAGAGATAAGTGAATTGCCAAACTATCACCAACAAAAAAGGGTTGAAATGTGATTCTGGCTAAGGGGAAGAATAACTGAATACATGAAAAAAACACAATAGGAAGGTAGTGTGTTTCCAGATAGTAGGAAGTTGGGAGAGAAAAGGGAGAGATGTTAGTGATATAGTCTATTCACCTTTCCAAGACTCAAAAATTATTGAAAACCAAGATATTAAACTAAAATAATAGAGTAAAATAGAGATTTGAGACTTTAAGCCCTTAAGAGAAAGGATGGCTCTTTGAGTGAAGTATAGATTGGAAGACAATTTTATAGAGTATCTACTGAAACTAAAAATGCACATACCCTGTGACTGAGCAATTCCATTTCTAGTAATTCATGCTATAAATCACTAGTGTGTGTATGTAGACATATGTACAAGAATGTTCACTGAGCATTGTTTGTAATGGCAAAAATCTAAAAACAACCTAAATGTCAATAATTAAGAGATGAATCAAATAAATTATGGTATCTATAAATGGGGTAGTACACAGCTTTTAAAAAAGAATGAATTTGAAAATGTCCATAATAAAATAAAGACCTAAATGTGGTGATATAGAACAATCTCCAACATAGTTTTAAGTGATAAAAACAAGGTGCAAAACTGTGAGTGTAGTACCTTACCATCTATATAAACAAAAGTAGGGAAGTATGTGCACACACACACACACTTCTATATGCAAAGAATATTTTTTAAAAGAGTTCAAATATCTAGTAACAGGTCTCTTTTGGGAAGAACTGACATATCAAGTAGAGGGAGACTTACAATGCATACTTTGATGTAAAAATGTTTAAGTTCAAAATATCAATGAATTAACATATAAAAATTCATCCTATAATCTAATAGAATAACATTACTAAGAGAGACTGGAACAAAAATTCAGAACACTAAATTTTAGCGCTGACCCTGTCACTAAGTAACTCTGTTCTCAAGAGCAAGTTGGCTTGCTTAACTGTTCCTCGGTTTTATCATTTATGAAAATAAGAAATGAAGGGATTTATTAAATAATCTTAAAACACTATTTCTTTAAAAAGAATTTTTATCTTAGTTTTCTCAACTGGTTTCTAATAGGAACTTGAATCTTGTCCTCATTATGGCAGTTATGTTCCTATATCCATTATATAGGAACTGATTATTAGACAAGAGATAGTAGCTTTTTAAATCTTAGCAATCTCTGTTGCTCAATGGAGTGTGTCAAAGAGCATTGATTTTTTTCCTATAAATATGAACAATTTATGCTTAAAATAAACCATTTGATAGTGAGCATTTCTACCTTTCAAACACATTTCCTAGTCTATAAAAGTATAGCATAAATTTAAAATGTATTTTGATGATCTTCATGAAACTACCAATCATTTTTATTAAGCATTTTTGCATCAAATGCTAGCTTATGCATTTTTTCATATGACATCTCCCATCCTTACAACAATCTTATAAGATAGGCAGTATTACACTTATTTCAAAGATGAGTAAACTGATATAAAGAGAAGTTAAAGTGCCTTACCCAAGGTCAAGGAATTAACTAGTTGTGTAGAGCCAGAGTCAATCGGGGTTGTCTGATTTTGAATGAAGCCAGTATTCTAAATACAAAATGATGCTAGCACTTGGTGTTTATTAAAAATACTGTTATGTATTAGTATAGAGATTTAAAGTTGTGTAATATATATTAATTTAAAAAATGCATTGTTCTTAAGTTTTATTCCTTCTATGATTGATCTCCACTGTTTTCTCTCCATACACCCAAAGGTTTACAACTGTCAGTGCAGATTATCAAAATTTCCATGCTCCTGGATGCATCTTAAGGTTTTCTCTGTCATTTAAGAGACATGTGGGTATATATAGGTAGAATATCCAGTATGGATTGAGCTCTGGAGAATATTTAACACAAATAAACACTAAAGAATTATTGGCTGATGTGAAGAGTATAACCTAACTGTATGTACTGTGGTGGGATAAGGCTGTCATCACCCTAATCAGGAATTAATCTTTGCATTGCTAATGGTTAAGACAACCAGATATGCTGTGTCTCCTAAAGTGATGCATCACCTACCTAGGATGAATTCTAGTCAATAATATTTAACTGGTCTTTATTAAGCTGAAGCTTGCAGAGCCAACTTCCAGTTTCCAGGAAACACAGCTAAATGCAGCTAAATGACACCATAAGGAAGCAACCAGACTAATACAGAAGGCAGAATATTTTTCCTGGACCATTTGCCCATCAACAAGTCAGAATCACAAAAAAAGAAATTGTTCTGTAATAAGACTTCATGGAAATAAGCAGATGCAATGAATGATCCTGGACTGGATCCAGCTACATTAAAGAACAGTTTGGGAAAGATGGGGGAATTTGAATATAGACTGGGCATTAGATAATATTAAAGAATTATTATTAACTTTAACTGTGTTATTATTTTGTCTATATTATTTTTATAAAGGTGCATCCTTAAGTAAAAAATATATATAAAATTTCAACATTGGCTGAATGAATAAATGAATGAATGAAGGAGAAAAGTCTGGGCTGGTGACATAGGTTGATAGTCAACAGCATGCACAGTAATTAAAACAATGAGAACAGATGAGATCACCTAGGATAATATATAAGGCAAGACAAAGAGATGTGAACCAAAGGGACTATAAACATTTCCAAGACTAGATATAGAACCATCAAACTGAAAAAGAGCAGCTGGAGAAGTAAGAGGACCATGAGGAAAATGGTACTCCACAAGCTAAAGGAAGAGAAGATTTCAAGAGGGATTAAAGCAATTAGTAATGTCAAACCCTAATGAGAGATCAAGCTGGATAAAGACTGAAAAGAGGTGTCTAGAAAATAATAAAGGTCAGTAACGACCTGAGAGGAGTTTCAGTAGAATGACTGGAGCAGAAGTCAGAGGAGTGAACTGCAGTTGAAGTGGAGACATCACTCCTTTTTCAAAGAAGTTTGGAGTTTCTCAGAAAGATGAGAACCTGTACAAATAATACACATTGTTCAGATAATGAAATTGCTAGTGATTGGTACTAATGCGCAGTAACAAATGAATGAAAGACAGAATATAGGGACAGAAGTTGATGGTAGAGTTATAAAATAAAGGATTCCTCTTTACATTCCTCACGTAATGCCTACATAAAATATCTGCCATTATATTTATAATAGTCTGCAAGTTCAAAATAACTATATATAGTTCGTTGTTTTTTCTACTTGTCTCCTAAAGAAAGGTGATATGTGTTTCACTGTATGGAGTGAATTGGTCCCCTTAAAAATTAGGTGTAAAATAAATTTTTGTAAATCAAATAATTAAGTGAACCAGGAAAATTATTTATTACCTAACCTAATTACCTTTAGGCTACAATCTGATTTCATTCAGGTTGTACTTTATAAATAATATTTAATAATAGATGACTTATTTTGATTTTACAACATATATCCCTTGGTCACTATTCTATCCTATGAGATATGCAGGATAGGTATTATTAGCACTGTTTGACCCCAAAACATTCTTCTGCTACAAGGGGACTCTGGAAAAATGCATGATTTTCCCCTTGAAGAGATTGCTATATATCCAGAAAAGTTCTGGAACAGCCCCAAAGCTGTTTAGCTTTCTTAACACATTTAAGAACCTTGGTCTCTCCATATTAAGCTCAGCCTGTCTCTTAACAGTCCTTACAAGAGAAAAAGAAACTTAAAAGAAAAATCCACATATTTACAGAATAAAATCATTTGTTTTTTGTCCTTGGTTAAGAGACTAAGAGTAAAATATTTTATATTTCCTAGAAAACACTTATTTTTTTTAAACTAAAGTCAGCTGATTTTTTTCATTTTGTTGAGATGCAATAAACCTAAGGCAGCTGACTTTGAAGAAAAAAATGTATTCTAACTGTAATGCAAAGAGATATTACATTAATTTTTTTGTAATAATAATTATGCACTACTGTATCCAATTTATAAAAAGTTCAGATTGTCAAGTACTGGGGGTTTTCTTATAGTGGGTCAGACCTACACTATACTATATAAATAACAATAGCTAATAATTTTTAAGCACTTTCTATGCTGAGTACCTTAAGGATTACTGTATTTAATAGTTTCCACGATAAAATTTGTAAAGTAAGCACACTATCATCATTCTCATTTTACACATGAAGAAATAGATTAAATTTTGCTATATCCAAAGTTGTAGATTTTAGACATGCTATCTCACAATATGCTTAATTTTAATCACACTCCAAAACAATAGTATTCAAAATTAAAGTTAAAAATGTGGTTTGAGAGCTATGCTACAGCATATTCACGGGAAAAATGGAGATGGTATGAGAAAATAAAAATGAACACTAGTCTCATAACAATGTGAATGTATTTCACACTATTGAACGGTACATTTAATATAGTTAAGACAGTTAATTTTTTATCTTTAAAAAATTATTTTATCACAATAAAAAACGCCAACCTTAGCTTTGTTATTACTGTAATATTTCTCACAATAGCCATTTCTTATTTATTCACAGTAAAAAGAGAGTCCTCCCTCGGTATCCATAGGTGATTGGTTCCAGGATCCCCTTGGATACCAAACTCCGTCCCTTATATAAAATGGCATAGTAGTAGCATATAACTTATATTTGCATGTAGGCTACAGCAGGGCGTGCCTACATGTCACTTCATTCACGTGAATTCACTGGAGTCCTTGGTGTGTGGCAAATTCAAGTTGTGCTTTTTGGAACTTTCTGGGATTATTTTTCCCCTCATATTTTTAATCCATGATTGAATTTCGCATCTGGCGACACAGAGGGCTGACTGTATGTTTAATACTCTTCCTTCTTTTATTAAGGCATAGAGATTATTTTTCTACAGTTTGAATTAAAAATCTATAGAAGTAACCCACTGTAAGATACATAGTACAATCTTAATTGCATTCCTACCCATATAACATAACAAATTTTCCAAATTCTGTATATCGTTTTTATCAGAAAAAAAATTTAAAATCAAGATTGACATTACATACAGTAACTATGGCAATGAGAAAAGATCTGAGGCTTGGGCTTTACATCTGAGAATCTACTCAATGCCTACCAGCTTACTTATTTCACCTCTATATTTCATGTTATTTATTAGGAAAAAGGTTAGCCTGTGAATGCGCAAATTGTTTTTTATAAGTCGAGGCAGTCCAAAAGAGGCTATCAAAGTCTTTAGCTACTTTACATCCAAAGACCCTCTGGAAAGGAAAATGGAATGGTTTGGGACCCTACAAAGGTTACGAGAAATTAGTAGAAACATGGAGAGACATGCAGTTTCAAAGACCCTTTGTAAAATCCTCTGATAGCTCAGAATAGCAACAACAAAAAATGCTATTGTTGAATCTAGTCTTCATTGGAAGAGACATTGTAATGATTTATAGAATTCGAAACAAATCTTCAATTATATAAATCCACATGTAGGCAGTACATATAAATGACTACACTGAGATTACATTCAGGTTTAATAATATTCTTAAAACAAAAACTTATGTTATATTGTAGTTAATTTGCAAAGTCTTCTCACCTTCGTGGCCTAGTCCTTGGGGACATCATCTCATTCCCAAGTATGTGGTACCGTCTTGCTTCATGCAACAACTGATAACACTCAGGAGAATTCTGGATCAATTGGTCCACCTCAACTGTTTGAACGAAGTAGTTGGGATGCAACAGAGGGAGTCTCACATGTGTCAGAAGCTCATGCAATAGTGGTCTTCTCAGATCAACAGCACGATAGACCCAACGCATGACAGCTTCAAAAACCATCTCCTCTTTACCAATAACAAGTTCGTCGCTACAAATATAATCAATAAGTTCATCTTTGTCAAGCTCAAGAAATTCTTCATGCTGAGACACATCCTCAAAAGTCTGCAATGCAAAGGTCTTGCATTTTGTGAAGAGTGTTTTGAGTGAATGGGTATCAGCAAAGCGCTGGATTCCTAGGCAATTACAAGGATCAAGCTGCTCCTCTAAGAACTTGGCACATGCATCACGGAGAACACTGATCTGAAAGAGGCTTGATGTTTCAAAGAGATATTGTACGTTCTCTGTAGTGATCTTCACCTTTCCAGTATAAACATACTGCAAAAAACATTCCATAGCTTCAGCTAAAATACCATTGATTTCAACCAACATTTCTCGGCTTTCTCTGTGGTCATTACAAAACATAGCTCTGAAGTAACTACTACAGGCTGAGAGAACAGCTCTATGGCAAGGAAATTCTTTTCCTTCCACACAAATGATAACATCTGTGAACAAGCGGCTATCTCGGAATTCATTAAATATCTGGAGTATGTTTTCAGCATGGGATGATCCAGAAGAGAAGTCAAAAAACTCACGGCCTGTCAGGGATTTAGGGTCCATTTCAAAAACTTTACGCTTAGTTGCTGGTGAATCACGCACCCCAAGATCCTCTCTGTTTAGTCTTCGTCCCAATATTAGGACCATTGTTACATCAGTTGACTATATTATTGCTGAGAAATGACTGTTAGGGATCTTCTTAATGTGGCTAAAGGTAAAAAAAAAAAAGTGAAAACATTTCAATATGCAAAAAATTCAGTATTCGAATTACATAATTTCATTTTGATGTAACACTACAACAAAATCATTAATATATGTCATACAGGGTATAAAACACTATTTCATTTTAATAAAATTTTCATTTGCACAATTAGAACAGTGGGGTAATTTGCAATAATACTCCTTAATCCCCCCAGCTGTACTCTGTGCATTACTAATAACCTTGTCTTCCCTTTTGCACAGCTATGTTTCATCCACTGACTGTATAATCAGAATACTGTAAGACACAGAATTCGACTACATTCAGAATCCTAGTGTTTATTATCTTAATACAGTGTTGCTAGAGAGGAATTCAGCTATATCTATCAATAGCCTTTAAGAACATGTATAGTTTGACCAGTAAGTTCCTTTCTAGCAATCTATACTAAGAAAATAATCAGGATATGTAGAAAGATTTATCTATAGAGATATTCAATGCTGTTTTAATAAAAAGTACTTAAAGCAATCTAAATGATCTACAATAGGGGATCAGTTAAACAACAGTACATCTTAAGGATGGAACATAGTCTATGCAGCCATTCAAAATTATGTAGACTATTTAATGACATGGGGAAGTATTAACCAGATAGTAAGTGAAAAGCAGATCATAAAACATATGCTAAAAAAAAAAAAATAGAAAAACTTACATATCAGTGTATTTAGGAACAGGAAAAAGAAGACATTTATGTCAAAATGTTAAGTGACTTATTTATCTTGTTTTTCTCTATTTCCCCCAAATTTCCACTATAAATATGTAGTACTTCATTTTTAGTTCTAAAATGTATGTTATCTATGCTCTCCTCCCTTTCACTAATCAGAAACATCCCTTAAACATCCCTCAGCAGTGACTATTCATAGGTAACTAATAGATTGAGGCACTGGACTATAGCTATCAATTCTCTTAATTTTTACTTTTAAGGTTGTCCTTCTCCTACTCTCTTTTCACATCTCCATAAGTTGATATATGATCCAAAATGCATTTGTGATTGGCTTAAGAACACTCAGATTAGCTCTCAAGTATTCCCATGCTCTCAGAATCTCATATACAGTCATTTCTAAAGGTCTCAGGTTCTTCCTAAAATATTCCAACAGATATTTAAGCCTAACTATGGTAGCATGAAGAATAAACTGCATACATTTTTTAAGTCCTTATGTGACATTATGGGCAAGAAAACATGAAATAACAAAATCAAGAAGTAACTCATTCTACTATATGTACTTTATATTCCTATTCTGATTTTTATTCTCCTTTTTCAATAACTCTGACCCAGATTTCCTAGTTCCAATATTCACAAGATACTGCCAACTTTCGTCAATTCCCTCATTGAGTTTACTCAGTTTTGTCACTTTCATCACTATCCTCCTCAACAAATTACTGTATGCTAATTATTATCAAAATACTGTGCTAGGTCTGTGGTTTAGAGATATAAGATAACTGCTTATGAGGGTTTAAAAAATATAGAGTCGAGACAAAGCACATTCACAAAAAGAAAAATAACAATATATGGCAACAGAGGCAATATGATGCCACACTGGTATGGCCAGCATAGTTCTCACTTAAGCTACTATTAAATGCTTTTAATCTCTTCATATAAATTAGTACTTACTCTTCCCGAAGTTCAGGTGACAGGATTTTCCTTGGGCATATGTACATCGGTCTATCCTAATTGTTTAGGGAAAAGTACCTGGCTGGTAACTACATCTGAAGGATACCTAAATGCTTCCATTCTGTACAGAATCTTTTTCTTTTCCATTCCTCTCTCCATGCCCCAATTTTGCAGGTAAAGTCAGAAAAAATTCCAGCATTTCATCAAATGGAATAAAAACAAGTAAAACAAATATTCTTTTTATCTGGGATCACTAGGTGGGGATTCAGAGACAGTATGTTGATAGGGAATCCCTACTGAGGGCATGTGGACTGTGCTGATTTAAAAAATCTTACAATGACTGAAGAATGGTTATTTTGGTCCCCTCTAAGAATCCTGGCAAAAACTGAGGAAGTTCTTGGAAGTCTAACATATTAGGCTTTAGGAGCTATTAAGAGCCAAATCTGTATCTACTAATTGTGTATCTACTAGTTTGATGAAATCATGGAGGCTGTATTCCTTATATGCCTTAAAAACCAAAACAGAACAACATTACTCTTTATTTTTTGACTGTTTACCATGTAGCTGGAACTTTCTAAACTCTTCATATGGATTATTTATTTAATTTAATCCTCATAACAATCCTATGAGGTTGTTACTATAATTTAAAAAGCTGGTTTTACAGCTATAGAACTTCATATACAGGATTAAGACAGATTTTTCTAAACAAGCAGGAACTATTAACAAAGTGAGTAAAAGACCGATAAACTTTACTCCAACATCGAAATTAAAACAAACAACAGAAAATTCCAAGTATACAAATACACATACAAATTTATTTTCTAAATGTATAACAAGTTTGTAATATAATGAAACAGTGGAAGCTCATGAAGAAAGCTTATTTAAATGAACACATACAAAGTAAAAATAAACTCAAGAGAATGCTTGTGAATGGCTGATTTTTGGAGCAATGCCAATAAAGTTACTGCCAGATAGTTAGTAAAATTAGTTTCTATTAAATTTGAGGGACTATTTGTCTATACATGTTATGGTCCAAGTAAGTCAGATTTTGAACTGTAATCTAATTACACTTTGGAAATTTTGGGTGACAGATTTGTCTGAGAACAAAGTAAAGCTTCATTTTGTTAATTAATGAATATAATTACACCTGAGTTTAAAATATTTTTATTATTTGTTTTAAAATTTATTAACACTAACCACCACCAAAAAAAAAAAAAAGGAGTATCTTCAAATCTCTTTTAAGATCTTCCTGATTACTTAGAGAGTTCATGTTTGCCTCATTGTAGCTCATCCAGCTTTTTGGATTATAGTTGCCCATATATATGGGTTAAAAATCTTAAATTCATTTATAACACATATAATCACTTCCAAATTCCAAGCTCCCATACATGGACAGTAGCATGCATATCAAATATGCTTTTAATCTGAAGTTATCTCAATAACAGTTCAATACACAGAAACCTATCCTCTACAGAAGAGAGAGCATTACTATGTCTGAATGTCAATTTTTTGTTGTTGAAACTGCAAAAAGTTCAAAGCATATAATATCATAAGTGATAAACATTCAATTATGATAAATATAAACAAACTGGTGATATAAAATACAACCTATATTTTAATATTAATGCTTTACTAATCTAAATTCAAACTATGGTTGAATTAGAGACAAGTCAGCTTCCTAAATCGAGATCTTATTCTTCAAATTAGCTTATTTAAATTTTTATTGCATTTCAGGTTCAAAAAAATTTTGCACCAACTATTTTATTTTGACTAGTGATAGAATTACTGGCATTAATGACAAAATTCCTGAGCTTTCTGCCTCCATACATTTTTGTTTTCTCCATGTTTAAGTGAAAATGTGTTCTGAATGCAAAACAAATAACATGCCGCAAGAACTGATTTTCTTTTTGGATAAAAGGGACAAGTAAGAAAACACAAATGAAAAGGTACTCTGTTTTCTGTATCCAATAATCTTACTGTATCTGGTATCTCCCTGTATCTGACAAATTTGAGGGTAGCATATAGAGTGAGTGAAGTGTTAATTTCAGGCTGATTAAAACTTTATAGGAGTTAAAGGTCTGTCTTTTCATGCTCTTTTCTGCCCCTTATTCTCATAGCTGGTTCCTTAATTATTGATCAACAAGAGGTCTTCCACTGGTTTTACCTAATGTAAAATTAAATATCCTAGATTAGAATAGCTATAAAATCACCTGCTATTACAAAGTATTCAACATGACAAGATATTTGTTTACTGCTTTGTTTGTAGGAGAGACTCTCTCTTAGACCTGGGCTGTTCCCTTCCATGCAGCTTCCGCCTGGCTTTTTAGACATTCTCACTTTCTCTGGACTTTCTGAGAACTCTCCCATTAACCAGTCTGCACATGAGCACAAAACATAAACTCTTCCTAGACAGAATAAATGATCTGCACAGGAGGGTCTTAGAAAGATGAGAAGTCAAAGTTAATCTTTTCGGCTTCTAGATGTAATTTATTAGCCTTTGTTTTCCCATGTTACAAAAATGAAGTATTTTAACTAGTAATGGAAAAAGTAAGCAATTAATTAGGCATCTCTGGACAAAACAAGAGGAAAATGTTTGTTCTCGGAAACATAATTATGGAAAGTTGTATCTAGGTAAGTTTGTGGATGCAAGGATGATCAGACTGCCATGTCAATGGCTGACCAATAAAGCCACACGATTTGTCTAGAAAAGCTAGTATCTCTTTTTCTCCCTCATTTCTTCAGGAGCTTTATTCCTGGAGCTACACTGTCATGTGAAAGAAAGATTTTTCTGGTTAAGGATACTCTAGGGTTTATTTGCAACTGCAGAACTCACAAATGTTGTAGACCTAGCTTCTGATTGCTAAATGGATTTAAAATTACACGTTTTTGGCCTATGCCCCCACCTCACCCCCCTAAACAAAAACAAAAACAAAAACAAAAATGAGGAGATAACTTATTTTAGTGTCTCTAAGACTAGAGGAAAATGTAAAAGAGGGACTAAGGATAGCAAGAACGAGTAAAAAGGAGTGGGTAAATACTTTATTTAGTAATGGAAATGACTGTGACACTGCCTTCCTTTATGATCTTGAGGACAGAATTATTCCCTGTGACTCTGACTGGCTTAAATGACCACTGGTTAAAGAAAAGAAAATGGTTTGAATTCTCTAATAACAATGTTTAGATAGTTTATAAACATTATGAATACCTTTTTAGCATTTGCTTGATCAAAACTCCAGTCAAAATATTTGTTGTTTTAATTTCCAAACCTAAAATAAATGGAGAACAGTAACATAGAAATCAGATACAAATCACTTCACGTATTTACTAATACGCTGAAAAAGTTTTTAGTAGAGATTAGTTTCTGACTGGAAGTTTACTTTTGCATAGAAAATCATTATCAAATAACAATTCCGTAAAGCAAATTAATAATTTCACGCTATTTTACGCTATTAGTTTCATTATTTATCAACTTCTTTACAATTTTACCCTGAAATAAGAGTTTTTGAGTGAAAGATGAGTAAACAAATATTTGTGTCAACAGTAAATTAATGGTGGCGTTGAGATGAGAAAATACATATCCTGTGATAATTCTGCATTGGCTACTTGAAGAGTGTCTGGTAATAAATATTTCATCTGAGTTTGGAGCCATTAAATAATTCTGAGTTGGTCTATCAAAAGCGAATAGTTTAATTATTATGTATCAGATAACAATGGAATTAATTTCAGAAAATCTTAAGTATTCTGGGTAATACATGGAAAAATTCATTTTTAATCCATAGTTATCTATATAGAGTATACAGATTATCCATATAGTCTCCAAGCTTATTAAATGATTATTTTTAATCTTTTAATATATAAACGCATGCTTCTTCCGCTTTGTTGAACTTTATGTACACTTAGTACTTATAGAAACCAACTAATTCAATACAATTTCTCTTCTTTCTTTCTTTTTTTTTTTTTTTTAGTGGAAGAGGAGGAGAGGAATGCTTAAGGGAAAATACTATTAGTACCATGAACTGTGCACAGAACAGCAATTATATTTAAACACAAGTGGTTCTGGTTTCTTGCCCAGATCTATAAATAGAACTCATAAATTCTTAACAAGTTTAGGCAAATTCAAAAAGTTGATCCTGAAGACCAAGTTATGGACTACTGATTTTTTTCTACAGATGTACACAAAGACACATCTTTATACCCTGATGATGCTATAAATGTTATATGTTTCTTTACTTGTAGAAGTCAGTCTAATTTGTATGCACCCTCAGTAAAGAATATTTCAACTTGGTCAAATTAGGGGATTGTTAGTCCTAGCTAAGTGCTTCTTCCCAATGGACAAACAGATCCTGAGCCAACACAGAGATTCAGGTCAATTCAAGAAATAATTTTGGAGAGCCTACTCTCTGTCTGGCACTGAGGTCACAAATATTAGACTCTGTGGGATTGGCTAAGATTAGAACCAAATAAGAACTCCAAGACTGATATTAAAATAGATTCAACTCCTCAGTATTTCCCTAGCAGGAAACAGGTACAAATTGGAATGGATTCTCTCATGACTGATCTGGTCTTAGAATTAAACTTTAAGGAGTAGAAGGGCAAGGCAATTCAAATGGACATTTTCTGCAGGGCTTTTAGGTAATACTTACCAACCTAATAGGTAGTAAGGACAAGGGACAGAGGAGGTCAGTGTACAAAGTCCTAAGGAGATATATAATATCAGAATTGATTAGAGTGTAGTTGTACTGCAACCAAGCTTATTTTTCCTTCAGAATGCAGGAATTCGATACAAAGAAAGTTACTATCAGCCTTAAAGATAGTACAGATTAAGGAGGGGTTTATAAAGACAAATACCAGAAAGCAAAGGAAACCAACAACATTTTGATTAACATGGTCCCTACAACCTGCAGTAGTGAACTGACACATGCTATGCTCTACACTACTTCATTTTCTCAAATTTAAGCTTGAATGAAGAGCAACATAACAGACAACAGACTAACCAAGAAGAGGTTCATCTTTAAAGATACATAGTAACTCAAAAGAAGGAAAGCCAGAAATAACTGCAACACAGTAAATCCAACTAAAAATTGTATTTAACCTGGTACTATATAAAATCAAGCAGTTTTTATAAATTTCAGATATTTTTGCCCTATTTTCTCAAAAGCTAATTTACTTATTTGAACCATTCTATTTAATGGCCATTTTAAACAATTATAAAACTTACACTCTTAAAATTTCAATTTAAAGCTTTACTTGGAGCAATGGTTCCTGAATAAAGTTTTACAAATGTAATACTTAAAATCCAGGCTTCGTCTACGGCCATGCCACCCTGAACACAAGTCCGATCCAGTCTGATCTCAGAAGCTAAGCACCATCGGGCCTGGTTAGTACTTGGGTAGGAGACCACCTAGGAAGACCAGGTGTTGTAGGCGTAAAAACAACAACAAGGGACTGTAAACTGACAAGGTCCTTGCAATTTGTGAGGTCAACCAAGGGTTGCCTTGCCTAAAAAAAAAAAAAAAAATCCAAGCTTCAAGATGCTATTTTTGACATTTCTAATTTCTTAATGGAATCATCAAGAATATATTTACCTACTTAAGATATCAGAAACAAATGAAAACATTGAATTTATCTTTCTAGAATGATAGCAAATAGTGATTATCGTCTGTTTACTAGAACCACAAATGGTCAATACATTAAGACCTCGGTTAATGAGAGAAAAAGAAATAAGAGGTATCTGATGATGAAAAATTTAGGAGTGCTAAACAATGTCTGACTAAACCATACGATTCTATAACTAAAAAAGAATACTATTTTTTCCCAAATCACAGAACAAAAAAAATTTGAATTTCTCCATGCAGTGTTTCCCTCTCTCTTGCCTTAAAACTTTTGGTTACTAATATTCCCCAGCCCCTAAAGGAAGAAAACAAAATTGTTAACCATCAAACATCATATCTGGTATTAAGCCATCCTATTGAGACTACTCATGCTTCTGAGTAGACTAGACATATAAACTTAACATCACTGGTTTTATCTCACTAACATGTTTCTTTTAGGTAGTTAATGCATTGTTTTATTTTGAAATCAAAAGACCTATATATATATATATTATAGTTATGCTTTCTGTGAGCAAAATTGTTTTTGGTTCTCTTATTAGAATTAATTAAATTTGCAAGGACACTACCCGGTGCTTTGCCACTTGAACAAGTTTGAGATTCAGTATTTTAGATGATTTCTCGATGTATGAAAGCATTTGCAAGTCGTGATTTTTATTTTAGTGGTGATACAAATTATTTGCAAAAATAACTTTTAGAGACAACTGAGTAAAGAGTAAATCCTAATTATATTTAAATACAATTTTAGTAGATTTTGAGATATGCCAAGTAATGAATTTAGGCAAAGTGACAAACTCTTCAATTAAAAACATTAGTTTAGCTATTGTTTTTAACAGAATAGGGTTTTAAAATGTCGATGGTTGTCAAGTGGCCACACACTCTTTGTATCAGTTACAACAGAAATAGAATCATACAAAATGTATTTTTATGTACTGTACTTATGAGGATATTCTCTTTACATTTTCCATTATACAGCCCATACCTATTTATTGAAAAAGGATGCCCCAAATTTCTAGATAAAAGTGTATATGAAAATAACTGCAGCCATTCCTTAATAAATAACATTTATTTTTCATTAGGCTTGACCTTTGGATTTTAATGAAATGGCAGAAAACAAGGAAGTTAAAAGGAAGTTTTCTGAAAAAGCATTAAGGATTTAGGAACTTGGACAAAAGCCAGGAAAGTTTAAATTAAATCTGATAGTCAGCCCTAACTCAGATAACTATTTCTTCTTCCTGTTTAGAGACTAAGTCACAGGCTTTCTCTCTGAATAAGGAGGCTTTTGAGAGGTCGTTTTATTATTATTTTTTAAAGGTTAGAAGTTTACATTTTGTACTTATTTAGATATGTTAAAAGCCCTGAGCGCACAAGTGATAAGGCAGTGTGGGATCACAAAAGCTGCTCCTCCTCGTGTAGTCATCTCCACTTCAATTTTAAAAAAATATAAAAATGCATAACCAATGAGAACCGTTCATATTCAATTCCTGCTTCACCCAGGGGGCTCAATCTACCTCCTACAGAAATGCATTAAGTTTTGGGTGAATTCCTACAGATTTACAGGACAAGAAAATCTGATAAGACCCAAGTACCCTATTTCTATGATCTCATGAGATCAGGAAAACCTCATCTTCAACCCACTATGGCTAAAAATATCTTGAAGATTTTATTAGTCACCTTAATTTATAATTTTAAAACAAGACATTAACAGTTCACTTACAAATTCTGAATTACCACGGGGATTAATACCAGGAAAACAACTCATCTAAATCGGGGTATAGAAGAATCTATACTTTCAGGAGGATATCCTGAGGCCACCTTTTTTAGGAAATCTAATTTTACAACTTAGTCGGCAAGATGCAGATGTTAAAACGATTTTACGTACCCAATAAAAATCAATCTCAGCTGGTGAACCTTAACAGTCTGTAGCTGCAAATACTAAGACGTGACTTTTTAAAAAAGCTGCTCGAGAGCGTGATTAATGGATAAAATCCACTAAAACTAACTGTGACTAGTCACTCCCTCTAGGTGAATGAGGCACCCTAAAATGTGGCGTTATGGTCCTAGCTATCTAAATCTTGTATACAGAACCTGCAAGAACAAATTCACAAGAAGATTTCCTTCCCATTATCCTGGCAGATAAGGCGACACCAATTAAACCTGGCTAATTATGAAGTCCGGGAGAGCGGGCTGCTGCTGCTGTTCCCAGCGGGCGCAGAACTGCTCCAAAGCTGGGGCAGAAACCGCGGCGCTCACGCAG